CTGCCGATCGGGCTGAAGCAGGGGCCCGCGATACACCGATGCGTACGTCCATGCACTTTGCGAGAGCACGTCCTTGCTCGAATGACTCTTTGCCTAGAGATAAGCAAAACTATTCGCCCAGAGACTTCGAATCCGACCTGTACGCGCTGGGCACTATCTGGAAAACACTGTCAGGGCGCAGTCGCGCAGGGAGGCGGAGAGTATGGAGGACAGCTTGGGTGACGAGCAGCAGTTTCAGCGTAGGCGATGAGCGAAAGGCAGGGGGAGCAGAAGGCAGGAGGAGGGAGAACGGATGAACACGAAAACGACGTTGAGTGTACTTGACCTGATGAAGGAAAACCCGTTCTTACCACGCCATTATATGTCCGCCCTCGGGCGGGATCTCAAAAATCTCGGGGACGGGGACTTCGGCAGGAGACAGGAAGAAGAGGAGGAGGCAGAGCGTCAACCGGGAATAACCTTCCAATCCTTCCCTCTGCTGCTGCTGCTCCTGGGCCTGCGGCGTCTTCCCTCTCGCAAGGGGACCAACGGCGAGTGATCCAACCGGCAAGCTCAACAATAAGGAAAGATGGAACTCACGAATCCAACGGCCCCTCCGCTTGGAGAGGAGGCGACGGCGGAGATTGCACATATCGCTACGGCACAAATCTGAGCGGGGAGGGCCCAGCCAAGCTCAGAGCTCCGGGAGGATCTGGGAGAGGCAGGAACAGGTCATGTACATGACCAAGAGCGAGCCGAAAGAGAGGGCATGTGAAGTCAGGCCTGCAGCTGTCCCGCGCGGGGCAGCCTACTACATGACCTCGACCAACATTCTGGCGACGAGCATCCGCGACCCTGACCCGCCAGGTCTTGATGCATGCCACTCCCAAGCTCGGAGGGCATCGGATGAGAGTGGCAAGCACAATGTCCCATCGAATCGCCGCCGCTGTTTCGGGAGCCGCACTGAGCCACCTGGGAGGCCCGCGCTGCATGAGATTCATGACGGAGCACTTCCAAGAACCTTCTGGGAGGCAACGCAGGATCGACCCCTGCAGCTTCGGAGCCCGCCCGACCCCTTCCCGCTCCCCACCCTGTCTCTCCCGACGCGCACGGTTCGGTTCTCCGCAAAGGCAAACTTTGACAAAATGTTTAGCCCACTCACCGAGGAAAAGGCGGTGAAGGAGAGAGGAGGACGAGCAGCAGGAGGAAAAGGAGGCGTAGCCTGATGCCGAGGCATCCGCTCAATTCCTGACGCGCACGGGACCGCGCGACCACAGCATCCTGCGCCGACATGGCGTCATGCCCGACGCCTCCGCCCTCGCCACTGTGTTGTTTGAACGTATCCGAAAACGTCGTCCCATACGAGCAGTGACGTCTCGATCTGAAGCTCCCAAGTCCCACCGACCCTTTGGGACATAGGTGGCTCAGCGAGTTCGTTATTCCAACCCCCTTTTTCCCCTGTGGGGAGGGGTTTGGTTTTCCCCTAACTCTCCCGTGAGTCTGGACGGTGTGGGGGGGGGACGAGTTAGATTCCGAGTTAGAGTGTCCAAAATGACCCAAGCTGGTTCCAATAAGTTTGAAGGGGCCTGTAGACCCGACCAAAAACTACGCTTTAGGCGAAGCACAGCTCCTGCTCTTTTGTATCGTAGCAACGGTAGTCCCATTCGCAGGAGATCGTCGCGGGAGCGACGGGCCATCTCAAGCGAAGGCTGTTTTCGGTCTCGATGGCGAATCGTGCACCTCGCGCTGAAGTATAATCAGATATCGGCGGCCGGCCGCTTGAGCACAAACGGCCGCGGACACACGCTCGTTACCTGTCGCTTGTATCCCAGCTCACTTTAGAGCCGGGGGGAGGGAGACGAAGCGTGAGCCCGCCGCCGCTATACAGCATATCCAGCAGCTACTATGTACAAAAGGCAGCAGAAGGCGGGGCCGTAAGGAAGGCGGACCCGCAAGTAAGTTGCCTTGCAAGCACATTACTGTGCATGTGATTGCTCCTCAGGCGGCCGCAGACAAGGATGTCTGGCCAGCCCGATAAGGAGCATGACGCTTTAAGTCATGCTTGAAGGATCGCATACCTCCCATGACCTGTAGGAGCATATCTCTGTCAATGCTCCCCTTCGTGTGACCATCCGCGGTCATGTCGCGAGTGTCACACCACTGAATGATATGCACGACTCCTCGCTCCATCATCTGTCATATCCCACTGCTGTTTCCTAAAAGGGTACACTCAGTCGGCTTCTTCAGGTCTTTGTTTGACAAGGACTTGGAACACTATCAGCATCTATGGTACAGGCGACCTTGATGCTCAGGCCACCCAACTCAAGTACGTCTTTCAACTGAGTGGGGGCCAGCGCGCTTGCATGGAGCTCGCGCCGAGTCACTATCGTGGGATAGCAGTCATCCAGGTCGTGGGCTGCTGCGAGTGTCTCTGCAAAATAGATTGAGCGGACCCGCAAGCGGCGAGACTTGCAGTGCGCATCGATCAAGTGGACGACAGGCGAACCGGATGGCATGTTTCCACGCCGTAGCAGGTTTGCCCCGCGAATACCATAGCCTTTGACTTCGTCATCGGCATGTCCACTCAGGCGTCGATATCCGGAGTCGCTGCGCAGGTCAACTTCGCCCGTTGGAGTCATCGATTGATAGACGATCTTCTTGGGGCAGGCCTGCAACTTCCTCGTGATCGCGCTCAGTCGTCGCACTTGTATATTGGTCGATTCTTGGACACGTTGTAGAGAGACCACATATACCATCAACCACACTTGGGTGATTAATGCGCACGCCAATGCGCCTCTGAGGCTGACGAACATGTCTGCGACCATCTTGGATGCCTTGGCGTCAGCGTCGGCGCCAGTGAGGTCAGGATGTTGTACAGGACGGAGCTGTTTGATGTATTCATCTTGGTCCGATGCGACGTTGCCGCCCCCATCCGTTGCGTACCTCGCAGCACAATTGGTATATGTATGTTCGTTGAGTTTGCACTTGTCAAAAGTGCCCTCGACGCACGTGACGCACTTGTCAACGGCGCCCTCAGTGCCGGCCATTTTGATATCATCAACATGTTTGGCTGTGAGCAGGCTACTGCATGTCTCGAACTCCTCGTCGTAGGACGCTGGTCTGAGACCAAAGCCTTTTCTTAGCTTTAGTCAGAAAGCTCTTGGTGCATCCTTGGTGCCGGCGCCTAGCTTGAGGCCCTGCAGGAAGTGCCCCGGCTCGTCGCTGCGCTCGAATCCTGGGAGGGATCGAAGCACCGCGGCCGACCCAGGCGGCAAGGTAAAGCGCACCACGCGTTCCTTCTCACCAGTTGTCTCAGCAAGTTTCTGGCAGGTTAGCCAGTTCAGAAAAGCCACGTTGATGTCAAAAGAAGCAATGATCCATTGCTTCTTGCGCGCTGCCGTGTTTGCGAGTAATATGCGGCTTGGCCGCCGCGCTGCCCCTGAGAAGGTATACACATCAAAAGCTTCGCGGCCCGTGGAACTCCGAAGCACCGGGCGCAATCTGATGGCGCGTTCCATCTCGCCTTTTCGTTCTTCACGAATTCCCACTTATACACGTATCTTAAAGTCATGATGTTTGACGCTTTAGATCTATCTTGCACATTGAAACACTCGTTGTCAAACCATGTCTTGAGTTCAGTATATAAGGCTTTTGATACTTTCTCGGGATTCGCGTGGACGTCGGCCTTCGCGAGGAGGTCGTCTTCCTTGACGACCGCAGCCGGTTTTGCAGCGGCGGTGACAGATACTCGCACGGTGGTTACGCGGTCGGCATCGAATATCCTGCACTGCTGACATTTCTGCCGCGAAGAAGAGTTCTACATATTGACCGTTTTCGTCCGAGTCCAATCCGTAACTGTGGTCTTCGACCGCGGAGCATAGCGGGACGTGATAAGTCTCCGCAATGTCGGAGTCGCATGAATACCCCCACTTCGGCAGGTGCCCCCGCTGTTCTTCAGCTACAGTGACCAGCGCACTGTTGTCAGTAATCATATGTGTGGGTACTGTGTTAAGGTCATCGAATGGAGTTGCCTCCAGCAGTTCCCTTTCGTCATGTAGTTCTGTGTACCACACTTCCATAATATGTGCCTCAAGGTCCGCTTCTGATTCCTCATATATCGCGGGAAGCCGCCCACCCTCCTGTGGTGATTTAGTTATGGGGCTTCTCCGGCGTTTTCGTCTTGCGCCCGCATGTCCGCCAGTGCCTCAAACTTTGCCATATTGGTCAAAGCCCGCTTGAAGTTTAATGAACGTTAGGCGCTGGATGATTATCGAATGTGCTGATCCAGTAATATCGCGCATTTTCAAGGCAGTGCCTTCTGCTTCATTGCAATGGAAGCCTCGAGTTACATTATTGTCATAATGGACCGATGTGCAACTGTCAGCGTAAACCACAAGAGGTAGCATGGATGCTCTTGGCCAACCGAACAGAGACTACATTCTCGATGCGGAAGAAGTTTCTGATAAGGCATTGTAGTGCCAGATGTACTTTGGGAGAGATCGCAGGCACTGGCCATCTGATGCGCCCCCCTTTCGGCCAGGACATGGCCAAATGTCATGGCAGGTCTTCCCGCAGGTACACTGGCAACAACTGTCAGCGCTGTCCGTAACGCTATGTTGTCGGAGCCGGTTTCTCTGGCGATCAAAGCTTTTATGTAAAGTGAATGTCGTTCATCGCCATATTGGCCTTGGACATCGCGGCTTCCCACTCGAATGATGACTTGACCCCTGTCGGGATCATTTCGTGCAACCGGGAACGGACCATTCCAGCCTCCCCAGTCGTTATTCGTACTTGTGGGGCGATGGTAGTCAACCGCATCGCCTTCTTCGTGGCAGTGCTGACCGGTGATAGTTGTCTGAGTACGTAATGCACGATGGGTCCTGGCTACTGCAGTAGCCTGTGTGATGGCTTCGATGCGTACCCTGCTTATCACCTGTTCTCTCGAGTGGTCAGACGTTTCTGTTGGCTGTTCGTGATCCAGAACAGGCAGGTCAGGGGACATTCCCGGTTGCCGTCCAAAC